GTAGAGACGGGGTTTCACCGTGTTGACCAGGATGGTCTCGATCTCTTGACCTCGTGATCCACCCGCCTCGGCCTCCCAAAGTGCTGGGATTACAGGCTTGAGCCACCGCGCCCGGCCAAATACACCATTCTTATTCAAGTGTCTCTAGTTGTCTTCTTTTTTTCTTTTTTGAGGCGGAGTTGTGCTGTCTCACTGTCTCACCCAGGCTGGAGTGCAGTGGCACGATTTTGGCTCACTGCAACCTCTGCCTCCCAGGTTCAAGTGATTCCCCTGCCTCAGTCTCCTGAGTAGCTGGGACTACAGGTGGACACTATTATGCCTGGCTAGTTTTTTGTATTTTAGTACAGACAGGGTTTCACCGTGTTGGCCAGGATGGTCTCCATCTTCTGACCTTGTGATCTACCCGCCTTGGCCTCCCAAAGTGCTGGGATTATAGGCGTGAGCCACTGCGCCTGGCCAACAAGTTGTCTTTAAAAATATCTCTTTATAGTCATTTTCTCTATATGCATTTACATTAATCTTATTGAGGAGGAAAACTGAACTCCAGAGAGAGTAACTTCCTTCTTCAGAATCCTAAGGCCACTTTGCAGTAGACGCAGAGCCAGAATTCTTTTTAGTCCTGTGCTCTTTGAATTTTGGTACACAATTACAAAGACAACTAAATAGTCAAGTCTTTTTTGTTTGTTTGTTTGTTTTGTTTGTAGATCCAAACCAATTTTTTTTTTTTTGAGACGGAGTCTTGCTCTGTCGCCAGGCTGGAGTGCCGTGGCGCAATCTTGGCTCACTGCAACCTCCGCCTCCTGGGTTCAAGTGATTCTTCCGCCTCAGCCTCCCGAGAAGCTGGGACCACAGGCATGTGCCACCATGCCCGGCTAATTTTTGTATTTTTAGTAGAGACGTGTTTTACCATGTTGGCCAGGATGGTCTCAATCTCTTGACCTTGTTATCCGCCCACCTTGGCCTCCCAAAGTGCTGGGATTACAGGCATGAACCACCGCGCCCAACCAATAGTCAAGTCTTAAGGCATTAGAGAGAGAGATGGGAGAAAATAGAAACAATAATCCTAGTATAATATTGTTTTTTGAGACAGGGATCTCACTAAGTGTTGCCCAGGTGGTCTTAAACACCTGAGGTCAAGCAACCCTCCACCCTCAGCCTTCCAGGTAGCTGGGACTACAGATGTGCATCACCATGCCCAGCTTCCATCCTAAAACTTTTGAAGGAGACTTGGTATCTCCTGGTATGTTTCTAGTTCCCAGTGTTCAGCTGTCCATCAGCTCTACCTGCTCTCTTCTACACTCAGGTGATCACCAGAACCCACCTTTGGATGCTGCAGCATAAAGTCCACGGCTTCTTCAAAGTACTCCAGGTGTATATCATTCAGATGTTCGGGGAGGTCTTCAAATCTGAAATAAGCCAGAGCAAGCACAGCAAAACCGTGTCCGGCCAGGAGGCTGGCCCTGTATTCACAAAGGCCACCGCCACTCCCAAATAGATCAATGATCCCGGGAAAGGTCCCCTTGCCTAGAGAACATCACAAGGAGCTTTAGGTTCTCAAAACAAGTTTTTGAAGCCAAGGAGATTGGGGGTAGAGAGATTGGCAGAAAAAGAACAAAATGTCTTATTTTCTTTTTTCTTT